GAATTGGAGGCATGGCTCAAATGGTAGAGTGCCAATGCTGAGTGAAAAAGCCAAAAAACACAAGGCCCTGAGTTCAAGCCCCAGTACTGGTACAAAACAAGAAAAAAAAAAAGTGACAACATCCAGGGATATATTGAAACTAGGCTGCCCAATAAACACTTAGAGGCAGAACTGGAACTCGAGTATGTGAGGAAGTGGACAAGTTGTCTACACAGGCTTGATAATTGAATCCGTAAATATAGGGGATGTCAGGCTCCAAGTGCAGCAAAGGAGGCCTAAAGTGGCTCACTTCATCCTTGATTCTATTCAAATAGATTTTCCCACTGTTCTTGTGCCCACTTCTGCCCACCTCTGCAGCCTGAAGTGATATCTACCCAGAAGTACCCCATCATCAGACACCAACAGCTAACCCCCTCTTTCCCTTTGTCATCCCCACCACACTGACAATCTCATCCTCCTCCAACTCTCAGGGACACACTCAAGACACCAACACCTACTTTCTGTGCCGGACACTGCGCTCCCTGGGAGTCAAGGTTTGCCGAGTCTCTATTGTACCTGATGAGGTAGCCACCATTGCAGCTGAGATCACTTCTTTCTCCAGTCGTTTCACCCATGTCCTCACTGCAGGGGGCATTGGCCCCACTCATGATGATGTCACCTTTGAGGCAGTGGCACAGGCCTTTGGGGAGGAGCTCAAGCCACATCCTGAGCTGCAAGCGGCCATCAAAGCCCTAGGAGGGGAGGGCTGGGAAAAGCTGTCACTGGTGCCTTCCTCTGCCTGCCTGCATTACGGTACAGATCCTCAAACTGGTCATCCCTTCAGATTCCCGCTGGTCTCTGTCCGGAACGTCTACCTTTTCCCAGGCATTCCAGAGCTGCTGCGACGGGTACTAGGGGGGCTGAAGCATCTCTTCCAAAACACAGCTGTGCAATTCCATTCAAAAGAGCTGTATGTGGCTGCTGCTGAATCCTCTATTGCCCCCATCCTAGCTGAGGCCCAGGCCCACTTTGGGCGTAGGCTTTGCCTGGGTTCCTACCCCGACTGGGGCAGCAACTATTACCAGGTGAAGTTGACTCTAGACTCTGAGGAAGAAGAGCCTTTGGAGGAATGTTTGGCCTACCTGACAGCCCATCTGCCCAAGGGATCGCTGGTCCCCTACATGCCCAACGCTGTGGAGCAGGCCAGTGTGGCTGTGTACAAACTCGCTGAATCAGGTAAGAACCTCCTGAGAAAGGATAAACCTATACCAACCCACTGGTGTCACTCCAGTCTGGTGTTAAGGGGCCTGTAAGGGACTTTCCACTAGTCCAAGAAAGGGCAAAAGATAGCTACTTCTCATTCTTTTAATAAGTACTGTCTACTTTCACTAGCATTGTGCTAGCTGTTGGGGATATAGCTCAGTGGGGTACATATATGACTTGCTCTTGTGGACCAAGGAAGGATAGACATTACGTAGATATTACATGAATTGCCACTGTGGAAAAGACTACAACAGAGAGATCAGCCCTCATCTCATGTCAGAGAAGGCTTCCCTGCCAGTGGCTCATGCCTGTAATCCTACCTACTAAGGAGGCTGAGATCTGAGGATCATGGTTCAAAGTCAGCCTGGACAGGAATGTGTAAGATGCTTAGCTCCAATTAACCAGCAAAAGATTAGAAGTAGAGCTGTGGCTCAAGTGGTACAGTACCATCAGCCTTGAGTAACAAAAAGATAAGGGAGAGTACCCAGATCCTAAGATAAGCCCAGGTACTGGTAAAAAGAAAAAAGAGGTTTGGCTGTTGGTTTAACCAGAAAATGAGAAAGACCTGGAAGGAAGCAACAATATCCTACACTCCCATTCCTTAGCTCTTGCTCCAGAGGAAAAACAGTGAAGGCCAAGGTAAGGTGAAGTATGAGGCAGACTGTAGGCCCAGTGGACCGCATAAAGGAGTTTGAACTTAATCCTAGAAACATTAGGATGACACTGAAGTATTTTAAGCAAGGATAACATGGCTTCTTTGACAGCCATATTCATTGATCTGATGTCTTCTTCCCTGCCTGCATGGCAGGGTCTTCTCTGGGAAAAAAGGTAGCAAGTGCCTTACAGACCATTGAGACTGCCCTGGCTCAGTACTGCCTCACCGAGCTCTGCGTGGGCTTCAACGGGGGCAAGGACTGCACTGCCCTCCTTCACCTTGTACATGCAGCGGTAAAAAGGTGAGCCTGCCCCTGGGAAGCACAGCCTCAGAAATATCTACTGTCCTCCAGCTCCCCATCCCAGAAAGTAAGGAGATGGGGCATAGGTGAGGTAGCCATGCAGTTCTGTTCTCCCAACGTATTTATTGCTCATGTAACAAGTACCTGGCTCTGAATGTGCAGGCTACCATCCCTGACCCTAGGGAAGTCAGTGTGTTGGGTATCTGTCTAAGCACTTAGGAAATCAAGGCAACAAGATTGCCTGAGCCTAGGAGTTGAAGATTAATCTGGACAACACAGTGAGACCCCCATTTCCAAAAAAAAAAAAAAAAGAAATCTCATACCAGAAATCTGGAAATTCAGGTTTGAGAGTTATAATAGTAGACTTCTCAGAGGATGTAGTTTTCTAAGGGAGAGAGTCCCCTGGAAAACCATTTTCCTGTGTTTGCTGGCAAGCCTATGGGTTCTTTCCTCTCCCTAGGAAATTTCCTGATGTTCCAAAACCTCTCCAGATCCTGTATATCCGCAGCATCTCCTCTTTCCCTGAGCTGGAACAGTTTCTACAAGACACCATCAAGAGGTATAGGGGCCTGGAGGTCTGGGCTCCAAGAAGAGCTTGATAGGACTCTGACCTTTCACCTTTGTTTCTTTCTAAGGTATAATCTACAGGTGTTAGAGGCTGAAGGTGACATGAAACAAGCCCTGTTTGAACTGCAAATGCGCCATCCTCAGCTTAAGGCTGTTCTGATGGGCACCCGTCGGACTGACCCCTACTCCTGTGGCCTAAGTTCTTTCAGTCCCACTGACCCTAGCTGGCCTTCATTCATGCGCATCAATCCACTGCTGGTAATGGGGCTAGGATTTACTCTCTTGGGTCTCCTATGCCTTACGGTCATACACTGGCTCCCTGGAAGAAAGCTAGAGTTTGAAGCTTGGACAGGGGGGCTCCATCCTCCATTCATTCTTTTTGACTAATACTTATTGAGCATTTATTCAGTGGCAGGCATTGTGCTTTCTGCTTTGGGCAGACTTGGACCTGTGCTGTCCAATAAGATAGCCATAGCTATTTATTCATACTGGAATACTAATTAAAATGAAACACAAATTACTTAAGAATATGACGTGTAAATTAATCTCAACTTTTAAAGTTAAATACGGTTAGATATTTGGCTCTTCATTTGTATCAATCACACATCAAATGACCACCATATATGACAGGACAGATCTAGAACATTGGGGAAAGTTCTACCTGACAGTGCTGGCTTAGACTCATGGTTCTTCCCCTGTCCTGGAACGTACACCCCAGGGGATGGTGGCATGGGAATGGGCAGGAGCAGAGGCTGAAGGCCTTCCCTGTCTCACTACTTAATCTACACAGAGCAAGATATACCAGACAGCCAAATAGCCAGATTCCCTCTGGGCCAACGAAGCAGAAGAGCTTAGGATGGGCAAGAGTGGCAGGGGATAGATAGGGGAGAAAGGAATATTGGCAACTATTTTATGACTCTGGTTTCCCAGGACTGGACCTACAGAAACATCTGGGACTTTCTGCGTCAGCTGTTTGTCCCATACTGTATCCTGTATGACCAAGGGTAAGGCAATGAGGAAAGGAGAGGGGATGCAGGGAGGACATGCAGGGAGAGCCGCCAGAAGAGCCCACCCGCCCTTGCTTTAGCCTTCTATCTTCCCACTCCAGGTACACATCGCTGGGGAGTCAGGAGAACACAGTGCAGAACCCAGCCCTGAAGTGCCTGAGCCCAGGAGGGCACCCCATCTACCGCCCAGCATACCTACTGGAAAACGAAGATGAAGAGCGGAACTCCCGCACATGATCCTGCACATAGGAGGGAGGAAAGGGGGGCTAGCCTGGAGTGTAACCTGTCAATAAACCATGCCTCTCACTGTGCCTGTTGCTGTAGCTGTGCATTCCTGCTCCAGGGGACTAAGGAAGCTAAAGTGAACTAGAGGCTGCCAGCTAAGCTGGCCATGCTTACTCTGACAAGTCTAAAGGTGAAGCTGAACAAGCTAAAAAGCTCATGAGCTAGGTGCCAACGACTCACATCTGTAATACTAGCTCTAACTCAGAAGACTGTGACCTGAGGATGGAGGTTCAAAGCCAGCCAGGGCAGGAAAACCCATGAGACTCTTATGTCCAATTAGCTATGAAAAGGCCAGAAGTAGGGGCTGGGAAGGTGGCTCAGTGGTTAAAGCGCTTGCCTTGCATGCCTGAGGCCCTGGGTTCAATTCCTCAGCACCACATAAGCAAAAAAAAAAAAAAAGCCGGAAGTGGCACTGTGGCTCAAGTGGTAGAGCGCTAGCCTTGAGCTGAAGAGCTGAGGGACAGCGCCCAGGCCCAGAGTTCAGGCCCCATGACCGGACCCAAAAAAAAAAAAAAAAAAGGCCAGAAGTACAACTGTAGCTCAAGTAGTAAAATACTAACCTTGAGCACAAAAGACCCTGAGTTCAAGCTCCAGGATAGGCACCCCCCAAAAAATCTCATGATTCTCAATGTCAGCCTCAGCCAGAGCCCACCAGAGGGCGAGAGCAATACTTGTGCCAAGCACACAGGGCAACACCCAAGCCAGAGGAAGGGAAGCTGAGCTGGGCTAGCTATGGAGGATGAAAGACTGGCCAGGCCCTCCGTCATACCAACCCCACCCCTGTCTCTCCCTATAGAGGCTGACTCAGCCTGTCCTAGACCCAGAACCTTCCTTTGCTAGACCCTGAGGCCTTTGTCTGTAGTCATGAGGCCTGATGGGGGTGGGGACAGTTGATAAAAGGCACCACGGCAGCATCTACACTCTTTTCAAAACTGCTGCTCACATGCAATCCAGGACACAGCCCCTAGCTCACGCCCTACCCTTCTCCCTTGGAGGGGCCCTGCGAGATGCTGGGTTCCGGGTGCCTGTCATTAAGATGGGTACGGGTTGGGAGGGCCTGCAGAAGACCCTGAAAGAAGTTGCCTACATCCTCCTCTGTTGCTGGTGTATCAAGGAACTGTTGGACTAATGGCAGCAGAGAACTGTCTCCTCTCTGCCCTGGCATCATGGCTGGGCTCAGTCAGGTGGGCATAGGGCAAACGAGGTATGGCTGCAGCCTGTGTGGCAGAGCTCGCTCTCAGCTTTCTGTTCTCTCTTCTGTAGCCCCAGCAGGACGTCTAGGGCCAGCTGTGATCTGCCAAGAATGGGCCACGAACAAGTGAAAAGTGGAGTGTGCATCCTGCTTTGAGTTGTGCCATCTGTCAAATCTGCCTCATCTCTGAAACTGTTTCCAGCCCCTACTTTTGATGGACCTCTGGTGGACAGGAGCCTGGCCTGCTGGCTAGGACCCCAGTTAAGACCGCAGCAGGACCTGGCACTTCTCCAAGCTTGGCACAGTGAGCCCACTAACCCAGATGGTTGATTTTTACCATGGCATTAGTACCAGTAATAGGTTTCCCGTTAGGATCACTGTTGGAGAATCACTGAACTATACTTATAATAAATAGGTACTGAGGCCAAAATTTCTAAATGTCTAAAGGGGAATGAGGAAACGTCGGCACTGAAAGGGTCTTTGAGCCAGAGCACAGACCAAAGAGGGAAGGAGCTTGTTGGTGGGGAGGGGGCAGGGGGGATAAGATTGAAAAACCAGGTTTCCTTATTCACTAGTGCCTGAGTGTGGAGGGTGAAGGACAGGAGAAAGGCCAGTTCTTCCCAACCTGTGTGCAGGGAAAGGGCTAAGCTTCTGGGTTGAGTGAGTGGGGGAAGGGGTCTTCTGTAAGGCTCAGAATATTAGGATGAAGACTCTAAGGACTCAGTTCTTCCCCAAATAGGGGAGCTCTGAGGAGCTTTGGGAAATCACTGAGCTATTCCAGAAAGCCCTGTGAGCTACAAAGAGATCTCAGCTCACACACAAAACTGTAAGAGAAAGGCAGGTGCTGGTGGCTCAAACCTGTAATCCTAGCTACTTAGGGACTGAGATCTGATGATCTCAGTTCAAAACCAGCCCAAACAACTAAGTCTGTGAAACTCTTATCTCCAATTAACCACAAAAAGCCACAAGTAAAATTCAAGTGGTAGAGCGCTAGCCTTGAGCACAAAAGTTCAGGGACAGCAGGGTGTCAGTGGCTCACACCTGTAATCCTAGCTACTCAGAAGGCTGAGAACTGAGGATCATAGTTCAAAGCCAGCCCTGGCAGGAGTTGCTCAAGTGGTAGAGTGCTTGACTCGAGCTGAAGAGAGCTCAGGGATAGCGCCCAGGGGCAGCAAAGTTCAAGCCAGGACTGGTACATGCACACATATTCTCTCTCTCTCTCTCTCTCACACACACACACACACACATACACATACAAAGCTATAAGAGAAAAGTACTTATGTGCTCACACAAGTCCCTCAAGTTTATCACAGTGATGTTCTATTAGGAAACAGTCTGCTTTCCCCTTGGCAGCCACCAATCCATGCTTTTCCTGAATCACTCCCATATATATTGACATACTCCCCAATTATAGGGTTTAGTCAGCATTTCTCCAGGATCATCATCAACCTCTTACAGCCCAGCTATTTCCCATCTTCCTTTTTCACCTCAGGTACTCACCTGGAGATAGGGGATAGGCGCTCTCTCTCTCTCTCTCTCACTCTCATTCTCTCTCACTCTCATCAGTCATGAGGCTTGAACTCTGGCCCTGAGCACTATCCCTCAGCTCTTCAGCTCAAGGCTAATGCTCTACCACTTGAGCCACAGCACCACTTCCGGTTTTCTGGTGGTTTATTGAAGATAAGAGTCTCATGGACTTTTCGGCCCAGGCTGGCTTTGAACTATGATCCTCAGATCTCAGCCTCCTGAGTAGCTAGGATTATAGCTGTGAGCCACTGGCGCCTGGCTTAGAACCTTTCTTTCCCTTCCTGGAATCAGCTCTTCTTTAGCCTTTTCCTTAGTTAACTCCTTTTTCTCTGGGATTTGTTGTTGTTGTTGTTAATTGTAAAAGAAAAGCCTACAGTAAACAACTATGAAAGAAAAAAGTTTCAGCTGGGAATGTGGCTCAGTGGTAGAATGCTTGCCTGTCATGCATGAAGTCCTGGGTTCGATTCCTCAGTACCACATATTCAGAAAAATCTGGAAGTGGGCTGTGGCTCAAGTGGTAGAGAGCTAGCCTTGAGCAAGAGAGGCTCAGGGATGGTGCCCAGGCCCTGAATTCAAGCCCCAGGACTGACAAAAAAAGAAAGAAAAAAGTTTCTTATACCTATCTCTCAACTCCTCCAGCTTTCCTCCCTGGAGGGAACCGTGGTTACATACTTCTTAGAGAGCTTTCCAGAGGTCTTTCCAAAGACTGCATCTTCATTCGTTCAACAAATATTATTGCTGGGGGTGTGGATCAAGTGGAACAGTGCCTGCCTAGCAAACGAGGCCCTGGGTTCAATCCCCAGCACCACAAAACAAACAAAAGAAAAACCTCAATAAACAAATATCATTGAGTGTCTACTATTTGCCAGTCTGGGTACTTTTTTATATAGTGGTATGTGAACAAAATCAATCCCTGTACTTATACAGCTTGCATTCTAGTAGTTGGGAAGTCTATATAAATAAAAGTATATAAAGAGGTGATCAATTAGATACTATTAAAGAAAAAAGAAAAATGTTGAACTGGGGGTAAATGTGGGGCAGTTTATGGTCCTAAGTTAGATTTGAGCTTTTTTGCAGAGTGAAATGAGGAAACATTACAGTGTTGAACATAAACTCATTATGTGTGGGGGTGGGAGAGAGGGCTGGGGCTTGAACTCAGGGCCTAGGCACTGTCCCTGAGCTTCTTTTGCTCAAGGCTAGTACTCTACCACTTGAGCTACCGATCTACTCTGGCTTTTTTTTTTTTTTTTTTTGGTAGTTTAGTGGAGATAAAAGTCTCACAGGTTGAGCACTCATGGTTCACACCTGTAACCCTAACTACTCAGGAGGTTAAGATCTGAGGATTTCCAGCCCTGGCAGGAAAGGTTCATGAGATTCCAGCCAGTCACCAAACAGCAGAAGTGGAACTACAACTCAAGTAGTAGAGTACTGGACTTGAATGGAAAATGCTAAGGGACAGAGTCAAGCCCCAGCCCCAGCACACACACACAAAAAGTGGCTAGATCTTGGGTCCTTATTCTTCACAGTTGGTTAGCATGCTCTGCACATTGCTCTTTTTTAATCCTTTCATATTCTTTGTATAGGATACCACAGGTACCACAGCAGTATATACATCTATGGTAGTGAGTATATACCATCTATGGTAGTATATACCATCTATGGTAGTGAGGGCAGTGGACAAAGGAGAGTCAGAGTCTTAATAAGTAGTTGAGGCTGGGCTGGGGATGTGGCTTAGTGGTAGAGTGCTTGCCTAACATGCATGAAGCTCTGGGGTTGAGTCCTCAGTACCACATCAACCGGAAAAGCAGGAGTGGTGCTATGGCTCAAGTGGTAGAGTGCTAGCCTTAAGCAAAAGCATCCAGGGAGAGTGCCTAGGCCCTGAGTTCAAGCCCCAGGACAGGCAAAAAATAAATAAGTAGCCAAGGCTAGCCTCAAATTCCAAACACTAGACACTCCTGCCTCTACCTCCTGAGATTACAGATGCTCTTGTTGTTCTTTTCTTATGGCAGCCTAGTACTTGAACTCCATATTGTTTCTTAGCCCTGGCCTTATTTATCAGTGTGTCCATTTAGACTTTTACAACAGGCAGGACAACCTAGTTTCTGCAAAGCTCTCCCTCTTGCTGGGAGAAAGGTAAGATCCTGAGACATAGCCAGGCACCAGTGGCTCACGCCTGTAATCCTAGCTACTCAGGAGGCTGAAATCTGAGGATCGAGGTTCAAAGCCGGCCCGGGCTTGAAAGTCCGTGAGACTCTTATCTCCAATAAACCACTAGAAAACCGGAAGTGGTGTTGTGGCTCAAGTGGTAGAGCACTCCCCTTGAGCTGAAGAGTGCAGGGACAGTTTCCAAGCCCAGAGTTCAAGCCCCATGACCGACCAAAAAAAAAAAAAAAAAAAAGATCCTGACACGTAACAGAGAGAGGTTAGTGGTGGGGCTGTCAAGAGAATTCACCTCTCCCTCTGACTCTGGGGCTTCTCCCTCTGACTCTGGGGCTTCTCCCTCTTCCTAATAGCCTGCACCTTGGCCAGCTCCAGACCTTTCCAGACTCAGCCCTGGCTTCTCTTCCTTTCTTAGGTCCCTACTCCCACTAAGCTTGGTGAGATGGAATCTAGAGTCTCAGGTCTGAGGACAAGGTCTTTGTAGGGGTAGTGATGTCTGACAAAGACAACTGGGGAAGAAGTGTGGGGAAGAAGGCAGATTCTAGGGTTATGGTAGGGAGCCGGAGGAAGAAGAGTAAAAGAAAGCTGGAGGGAAAACTGCAAGCAGCCCAAGGAATCTGCCAGAGCTGAAGAGAGCCTTGATAGTGGAAATACTGGGGAGGATGGGGAAAATTGCACATTCACACACACACACACACACACACACACACACACACACACAGCCAGGTGGGCAAGAAAGTCTGTAAGACTCTTATCTCCAATTAACCAAAAGAAAACTGGAAGTGGAGCTGTGGCTCAAAGTGGTAGAGCACTACCAGAACCTGACTTCAAGCCCCATAACTACCAAAAAACAAAAACAAAACTATACACCATTTGAGAGTCCTTTGCATGGTATAGAATGCTTTGAGTTTCACAAAAGTCTACCTCAAATATAATCAGGACAAAATAATTACCCCATGTTCATGTGAAGGAAACAAGAGCAGAGAGGTGAAGTAATTCATCCAAGGTCAAGTGCACAACACTCTGCAGGACAGCATTCATTTAGTGAATCAGGATTTTTAGATCTTAAGTTTAGGACTAATCAGACTGGTGGCACACACCTGTAGTTCCAGTTATCTGAAGGGCTGAGGTGGGTCACTAGAGCCCTAGAGGGCTAAATAGTGAGCTCTCTCTCTCTCTCTCTCTATATATATATATACATACATAAATACATACATACATACATATCACAATTATTGGGGCTTCTTTTC